CATCAGAGGAGCAGGAAAGCTGACGTTTCGGGTGTAGACCCTTCTTCAGAAGGCCTGAAACGTCAGCTTTCCTGCTCCTCTGATGCTGCTTGGCCTGCTGCGTTTATCCAGCTCTACACCTTGTTATCTCAGATTCTCCAGCATCTACAGCTCCTACTATCTCTGTCTCATATGTCATGTTGAGGTTGTACAGGATATCGGTGAGCCTCTTCTGGAGTACTGTGTGCATGTCTAGTCGTTGTTATTGGAAGGATATTATTAAACTGGAGAGGGATCAGAAAAAAAATTACCAGAATGTTGCCGTGCATGGAGGATTTGAGATAGAAAAATAGACTGCAAAGGCTGGGACTTTTTTCACTGGAGCCTAGGAGGTTGAGAGGTAACCTTTAGAAGTTAATAAAATCATGTGAGGTGTAGATAAGGTGAATGACAAGGATCTTTTCCCTAAGGCGGGGGAGTTCAAAACTAGGGGGCACTTTTTAAGGTGAGAGGAGAAAGATTTAAAAAGGACATGAGGGGCAACTTTTTTTTTGACACAGAATAGTTCATGTGTGGAATGAACTGCTGATGAAGCGGTGGATGCGGATACAGTTACGATATTTAAAAGACATTTGGATAAGTTCATGAATAGGAAAGATTTGGGCAGATATGGGCAAAGTGCAGGCAGGTAGAATTAGTTTAGTTTGGGAACATGGCTGGCATGGACTTGTTGGACCGAAAGGTCTGTTTCCATGCTGTATGAATCTGACTCTGTAAGTTTTCGTGAAGAATTGAAGATAGTGAAGAATTGTTCCTGTCATTAGCACACATGCTCTGACGTTTGAGGCAGCAGACGAGACCGAGAGATCCTTCAGTGAACCTGAACAGTCACTAACCCGAGTGCAAGAAGGCAAAAAATTGATTCTCATCAGAAATTTAAATGCTAGTCTATGCAACCTCATACCTTTTCACGTGGGCAGAGGAGAGCATACCAGGGACTTTCGGAGATGGTCCAAAGGTAGTAATGACTGAAAAATATCCCTGTTCGATACTACCATTTCTGGGACTATGAAAGCGTTTGACTGCATCAGCTGTGATGATCTGCGATATATCTGGCTCAAAAATTGTAAGATTTCGCTCAGGAATTTGTTGTGCAAGCTGTGATCTTCAGCAACAAAACCGGCACAGAGGGAGCAGTCCACTGCCAAAAGTGCCATTTCTCAGAGGGAGCTAACACATCTGCGGTGGCACCAAACAGATCTAGAGACTTTGGAACTTGTGGAGGTGAAGTCAAGGCATCGAGGAGGACAATCTATAACTGAGTAACTCTATTGCCCAAACATCCTAGCACCACTGGCGCCAGTCGCCAGATCGTGTTTTGAACTTTCAGCTACCTCAACCAGAGTAGAAGCAAGTCATCCTTGGTCCCAGAGAAATGTATGAGAGAAATATTGGTGAGGAAATTGGGGTAATTTGCCTGTTATAGTTTTGGAATAGTGCCATGGTTTTTTTTTAAGATCCACCTGTTGGGACCCTGATGTCAGGTCTCCTATGAGTAATGGCATTTTTGGCAGTGCACTGCTCCCTCAGTCCTGGTCTGATGTATCAGCCTTGATTTTAGTGCTCAAGCCCTGAACCCAATTGACTCTGAGGCAAAGGTGGTAACTACCACCCCCCTCAAGGCATCTGATTCAGTTGGTTTTCTAGTCTCTGCTTTTTGTTTCTGTGTATTAAGTGGAGAGAAAGCAGAGTTAACATTTCCAAGTCCTGTTACCCTTCTTCAGTACTGATTGTAGCTAGGAAAAGGTGATATATTGTAACATAAACTCTGCTTTCATTCTCTTCACAGATGCTGTCAGACCTGTTGAGTTTCATCAACAATTTCTGTTTCTGTTTTGGATTTCTGGCATCCAAATTTCTTTGTCTTTTAGTGGTTTGCTGATGCGTCCAGTTCATATGAAGAGCTAGGCATCTGTAAAGAAAATGCTGAAGCTAAAATTGAACTTCTAATTGGAAGCAATAGATATTGCTCCTTTGTTGAAAGAAAATTTGTTAATAACAAGATTTTGTTTGTGATATTAACTAAAGTTTCAAGTCACTCAAGGTACAAGGGATAACTCCCCTGTTCTTCAGCCTTTTATTTCATCCGGAGAGGACTGGAAGAAGCCAGTTTAGCATTTCACCAAATAGACAGCATTTCTGACAAAACAGTGTTCCAGATCTGCTGAAATCTATGGAAGCCCCAGTCCTCTGATTTAAGAAGTGAGAATACAACCAAATGCCTCTGATTTTTTGCATCTGTTTGTCTTTCTGTTTTATGTTGTGAATGATTATGCAGTTAAATTCAATGAACACGTGACTCCTGAAAAGAAACAAAATGTTGCTGCATGGTGTCTAATTTATGTGCATGTGAACTTGTAGATTTCAAATAGTTTTATAATTGCCATTCTTTTGGGTCCAAAACTGTCTTTTTCATTATTAGATTGATATTCTTGAGGATCCTGCAATCCAGAATGTGGTGATCCTACAGACGGTGCTACAAGAAGTCAGGCATCGAAGTGCTCCTGTATACAAAAGAATTAAGGACGTGATTAACAATCCTGAAAAACATTTTTACACTTTCACAAATGAACATCACAAGTAAGAAAAGATAAATCATAGAGGTTTATAATTTAGTGCTTGGGTTTTAATCTGATTCAGAAAACATGGTGTTTTGTAATGTTCCTTATGTCTCTTATCTGACTGATTTCATTGGCTATTTCCTCCAAAATTTGAGAGGATGAAGTACTGTTCACAATGAAGGCAGTATTATTGAGTAAACTGTTTGATGATATTGAAATTAGAAATTTATTTTAGAGGGAAATTACAATATTTTTCTGATTTTGGAATTTGTTAAATAACTACTAGAAATCAAATATACTTTCTGTCTCTTGTTATAATTCCAGCTGATGTTACTACTGAACAAGTCAGATCCCAGTCTGAATTCTGTCCTGATAGATTATATATTTTTTAACTGAAACACAAGCAAACCATGTTGCAGATCTGGTTCTAATAATAAAACTGAAGCTTATAGTGCAAAAGAAAAGGTAAAATAGAATTAACCAAGCTATTTTCATATAAAAAATTGAAATATTGCAAAATATGCTGTAAAAATGCAATTCCATCCATACCAACACCATCACTTTGCAATACTCCAAACACTCGAGATAAGTCCCTTCTCTGTCACATCTATAGGCTTGACTTGATTATTTCTTTCAATTTCTGGTCTTGAGATTTTGATAGCTTCTTTGATTATTCACACAACTTAGCTTAGAATTTTTCAACTTCAAACAACCCCTTCACATCTTAGGTAACAGTTTGTGTCTGGAACTTTCAAGCTAAAATTCTTACATTCCCTGAGGGCAACATGGTGGCTCAGTGGTTAGCACTGCTGCCTCACAGAGCCAGGCACCTGATTACACTTCCAGCCTTGGGTGAATGTCCGTGTGGAGTCTGCACATTCTCCCCGTGTCTGCGTGGAGTTCTGCCGGGCGCTGCTGTTTCCTTCTGAAGTCTAACGATTAGAGCTTAGGTGGATTTGCCATTTTAAATTGTCCCATATTGTTCAGGAATATACAGGCTAGCTGGAATATCCACGCTAAATGCGGGGATAGTGTGGGATGGGGTGGAGATTGCTGGGTGGAATGCTCTTTGGCGGTGGGGCGGAGGCAGGGGCAGTGCAAACCAGATGGGCTGAATGGCCTCTTTTTGAACTGTAGGCACTCTTATGATTCTATGACTCTGGTAACCCATTTCCTAGCAAAAAAAAAAGTCAATTTGTGATACTTCTAACTGAAAGCTGGCCAATACACTTCAATGCTTAATTTGTCTGTTCATAAAGCTCTCCCAAAGCAAACAAATTCCTATTTTTACTCCAGAGATTCTCTGTCTTTACTCTCTCTGCAGCAATACTGCCAACCCAGTCATTAAACCCTCTCATACATGCAAAACCCACGTGCCACTAGTTTTGTTCCTTTCTCTCCATCAAATCAATGGATATAATTAGGACTTTCAAAGCAGTTTCATTATTTTGACAAAAGATTTATGTAGCTTTTAAGAGTGTTGAAAATTCAGTATTAATCCACTTTGAATAAAGTCCATGACATTTGGTGTATGTTGCCTCCTCAGAGATACGTATATAGAGCAAGAGCAAGGTGAAAGTGCAAATGACAGGAACGACCGAGCAATACGGATAGCAGTGAAGTGGTATAATGAACATCTAAAAAAATCACAAAACAACACTCTGCAACTTCAGGTTATCTTGATAACAAATGACAGAAAAAACAAAGAGCGTGCTGTGGAAGATGGCCTGGTAGCATTTACATGTAAGTATGGAGTTGTAATCAGGCCCTACTGAAGTATTATTGCCTTCTTCAATATATACTTCTTAAAAATTAAAATTTTTGCTCACTAGAACAGACATCTATAGTAGTGAGTGGTTTCTCATTATATAAAATGGATTGAGAAGAGCAAGTACCTAGACAAATTCCAGACACGGGTGTGTGACAGGCATATGAACAAATTAGGATAGTTGGTTTACCAGTTACGTCTTGATACTGTTGTATTGCTTCTTGGATGGTACTGTTAAAGGAACCTGCACGAGTTATGCCACTGCATCTTGTTGGTGGTACATGCTGCTGCCATTGTTAGAAGAAGTGAATACTGAAAGTGGTGAATGCCCATTAAGCAACTGGCTTTGTATGGTTGGTGTCTTGCGTTTTGAGTAGTTTTGAACCAGCACTCATCCAGGCTAGTGGAGAGCATCCCATCGCAATCCAGTCTTGTGGTTGGCGGATGGGCTCTGGAGAGTCAGGAGGTGGGTTACTCACCAAAGAATTTCTATCCATTAACCTGCGTTTCTAGGGTCAATATTTATGTGGCTAAATATAAAGGGCAGTGGTTAGGTACTTGCTTGTCGGAGAAGATTGTCATTGTCATTGCCATTGCCTGGCATAGTGTATGGCACAAATGTGGCTTTACAGCTTATCGGTCTATGCCTGAATGTTGTCTAGGTCTTGTTGCATTACAAACGTGGACTGCTACAGTATTGAGAGTCCCCATTGCCCTTTGTAACATTGTTTTGCTTTAAATTCAAGAAATTATTAGGACCAGAAATGATATTGAGCATCATAAGAATTGTTTTAATGTTGTTTATTTCAGTGCCTGACCCAGTTGGCACTAATTTTGTCAATCTGTACCTTGTTTAGAATTAAATCCATTGCCACCTTTCTGACTTGAGGTCTGTCTTAATGCTGTACTGTTGTCCGTGGTTTGCAGCAAGCACTCCTCACCGATCAGCCCCAGAATGCCTCGCACAATCATCACCACCTACTGACGGCCACTGCCCCCGAGGGGTGATGAGGTTTGCCACAGTCCCCAGGACCCATTCAGACACAATGGAGAGTACCATAAGGTGCCAGGAACAACTGAGCTTGGCAGCTACAATATGCCGTCTGCCGTACACCAACCTGGAGCCTGCAGAGCACTGGCTATGATCGAACTCTGCAGTCCCAAACTACCTAGAGTCTGTAGCTAGAACAGCAAGACCCTCCAACCCACAGTCAACAGTACAGTGAAGGAGATCCATCATACTCCAGAGCAAAGCAGCCATCATCCTCCATCCCCAGCCTGGTCAAGAACCAGCATCTCTTCACTGTTCCACCAGTAATAAGCCATGATCCATCACAGGAGCTTGAGGTCACCATTAATGGGTGAGGCAAATAAAAATGCCAGTGTTACAAGACACAGCTGACACCCCGCTGGCCAGGCAAAGAGTGCAAGGCCAAAGGCCCACTGTCAGCCATAAAGACAAGCCCCAACAAGTGGATTCCAGAGGCAGTAACCAGCAAGAAGGTTTGCCATGGTCACCCAAAAATACACCAAAAGACTACATCCATTATACAACCTTCATATGCGGCCTCAAGCTGAGCAAAACTTCAGCAAGACCCCGGACAGCGATCATATTGGTTCAACAGTCAGAGTGTCCACTGCAGGAGGAATTGTTAATAAACCTGATGAAGCTACAGCACAGGATTGTTGTGTGCCTAGCAGCAAATGTTAGAGAGCTTTTAAACAATTCCATCATTAATAGATGAGATTTAAGCTCTTCAGTGTCTCTATTCAGTTGTAAATGGTGTTGGACAGTTCAGTGGAGGTTCTGCGAATATCCCCGTCCTCAATGATTTTGTTACTGCAAAAGATCAGGCTAAGCATTTGCAGAGTTTTCAGTCAGAAGTGACAAGTGGATGATCCATCTTGACCCAGGTGTGCCCTGTACATGCAAAACAGTACAAATCCAACCCAGCCAATTACTGCCCCCATCAGTTTACTCTTGATCATCAATAGAGTGATAGAAGTGTCAACAGCAGTGCAGTCAAACAGTACTTGCTTATCCTGATTAGTAATGCTCAATTGGGTTCTCCCAGGGTTACTCAAATCTTGACCTCATTGCAGTCTTTAGTACAAACATGAACTAAACAGCTGAACTCCAGAGGTGAAGTGAGAGTGACTCAGCTTGACATCAAACCAGTGTTTGACAAAATATGGCATCAAAGAGACATAGCAAAATTGAATTAATTGGAATTGGGGGTGAAATTCTGTACTGATTGCCATCATACCTGGCACAAAGAAAGATGGTTTTGGCTGTTGGAGGTCAGTCCTCGCATCTCCAACTGTTTCCATGCTATATGACTCTATGCCATATCTTCAGGTGTTGACCAGGTGACTGTACTAGGCCCAACCATCTTCAGGTGCTCATCAGTGACCTTCCAACTTACGATCAGAAATAGGGATATGCGTTCATTCGCAAACAATGTACAGCACTTCTCACGACTCCTCAGATAAAGCAGTCTAAGTTTAAATATAGTCAGACCTAGGCAATTAACAGTCATGGACTGACAAATTTAAATTGCGGCACGGTGGCTCAGTGGTTAGCACTGCTGCTTCACAGTACCAGAGACCCGAGTTCGATTCCAGCCTTAGATGACTGTATGTGTGGAGTTTGCACATTCTCCCCGTATCTGCGTGGGTTTCCTCACAGACCAGAGATGTGCAGGCTAGGTGGCAGGCCGAAATAAATTGCCCATAGTGTTCAGGGATGTGCACATTAGATGGGTAATGAGGGATAGGTCTAGGTGGGATGCTCTGAGGGTCAGTGTGGACTTGTTGGACCGAAGGGCCTGTTTCCACACTATATGGATCCTACGATTCTAGTATTTATACCCCACAAATGCCAGGCAATGACTACTTCCAACAAGAGGCATTGCAACTGTTATCCCTTGACATTCAACAGCATTACTATCACTGAATCTGGCAGTTTCAAATCCTTGGGGTTCGATCAGAGTGGATAGAAACTGACATGGACTAGCCATATAAATACAGTGACTACAAGAGAATGTCAGACGCTTGGAATCCTGCAGTGAGTAGATTATCTCCTGAATCCCAAAGCCTGTCCACCATCTACAAGTCATAAGTCAGGAATATGATGAAATACTTCCCCGATTGCCTGGATGAGTGCAACTCCAACAAAACTCAAGAAGCTTGACGCCATTCAGGACAAAGTAGCCAGCTTGATTGGCACTGCATCCACATTAACTCCTTCCACCATCAATGCTCAGTTGCAGAGTGTGTGCTTTCTACAAGATGCACTGCAGAAATTCACCAAGGCTCCTTTGACCACATCTCCAAAACCCATGGCCACTGACATCCAGAAGGCCGAGGCAGCAGATGTTTGGGAACACTACTATTTGTAACTTCCTGTCCAAGCCATTTTGACCTGGAAATAGATTGCCATTTCTTCAGTGTTGCTGTGTGTTAGTACCCTCACTGACTTTTCATTATTTTATTTCACTTTAGTTTGTTTTACCATTTTTGATTTGGAGTTGAACTGAGATCTGAAGATGGCCTTTGGACTGTGAGCTGCGGATTGCTTTATAAAAATAAAAAGAGAACAAAATCTCTATTTATTTCAGAATCCCCTTCCCCTCTCCCATTTCCGAAGAAGGGTCCAGACCGGAAACGTCAGCTTTCCTGCTTCCCTGGTGCTGCTTGGCCGGCTGTGTTTATCCAGCTCTACACCTTGTTATCTCTTAAACAAATTGTTATTTGTTCACGAGGCCAGGGCTGAAATTTAAATTCAGGTTTGTTCTTGTTTAAAAAGTGCTATAGATGTTTTGACTCCAGAGAGGCCTTGTGTTCAAGCAGATGTTGAATGTTAACTGGGACCTTATAGGGAGACAAGCAGTCTGACAAAGAAAGGCCAGAATTTGAACTGGTTTTTGAACTATGTTATAAGTCAGAAAGATTATGCCTGCAGAAGCCATAGGCTGGGAGGTATGATTGCTTCCTGGGGTTTTTCTGTCATTGCCAACGTATTAAATGTTTAGAGAATAGAACTTCAGTTATAAGAATAAACAAGTATTCCTCGGAGCCTACTATCTACAAGCATCAGTGTCATCAGAAAGTAAGCATAGTTCCTGCCTGTGAGTTATAAATCTTGGAAACAGTTTAAAAGAACTGGGCAGTTACATATCATTTATTTTTCCCTTTTGATTAATCCCCTAAATGTGTGTCCATCTTTCTGTGAAAGTGAAGGCTAGAATTAAAACAGATTGGGTTTAAACCTTTGACATTAATTAGATTACCTTGTGGTTTAATTTTGCTGTGCTAAAGCTATTATATTAATTATAAATTGTTAAATCTTTTATTTACATTATAAACCTGGTATCGGTTATCCGTAAGGTCTGGTGTTAGTTAGTTAAAAAAGTGTGGTTATGAACCATTGAGGTCAGTTTTGAAGGTCTTTGAGTATTTTAATTTTTACTGTGTTGTAAATACCGAGAAAGTGGGGCTGATTTGATTTGACAGCCTGTCTCTGTTTCCTAACATGGGCCATAATCCTAAACTATTATTTTCTTGTCACTACCACAAGGTGGAGCCTTGTCATCCATTGACTTCTTATTAATGCATTGGGAGTTCTGGTAGTATCTTTTGCACAATTTTCATTCTAACAAGTTTTCTAAAATAATTAAAATAGTACAGCAAACTTCTTTTAGCGTAAATATAAGATGTCAAATATAAGCGACAAAGAATAATCGAATAGGAATAAGTAGCTGAAATTGAATTAACAAGGAAAGATTTGCCAACTTTAAATAATAATCTTTTGAGTAAAGCCAACTAGTTCAGGTCCCATTTTAAAGTATCCTAAAGCCAATAATAATACGTATTGCAAGATTCCAGTTACTAAAAACATGAGAATTAATAATGGAATAGCAATCGTTCTTGTGGATTACTAAAATAATGATTTTGGTAATTATAAAATATTTGTACTAGAGATGTGACTACTTCATCGGGCCACAACTTTACCACCTGAAATGTTTGAATATTTTAATTCACATTATAACTGTTATGTGTTTCTCCATTTGGAATGGTTTAAAATTTTGCATTGTTCAGTTGTGATCACTTTTTCTTCAACCTTCCTTAGGTGATGAATATGTCAAGAGTTTAGTTGGGAATCCTGAACTAGTTGATCGTCTGGCTTGTGTTTCAGGTGCAACTGTAAGTATTGTTCTGAAACATTGCTCTGTGGGGCAGGGTATAAGGGAGGAGAGAGGTTTTGAAATGTTATTTTGTGATCCTTTACAAAGGAAAACTCCAGTGATGCTGTCAGTTTTACAATCACTGTAAGTGACTGATTGGATTGAGAATCCTTTTCTTTTCAAGATCTTGCGCGACATAAATCTTAGCTGACATGAAGTGTTAAATATGTCCTATAATATATTCTGTTTTCCGTTGATGCACTGTCGGCTGATTCAGTGGAGATTCTATTTTTACATTTTAATCAGTACAGCAGCTGATGTATACATCTATAAACTTAATAACGTCAAAACTAAAACAAAAATGTAAAAGTGCATAAACAATTAAATTACCAACATGACTACGATTTTATTTTGTTTCGAGCCTTAATAGGTAATTTTCTAATGAAAATTGCTCTTGTTAACGAAGTAAGAACTTCATAATGTCCAAATATGCTAAAACCTTTTTTTTTGTCTTCTGAGAAAGATGGATGTTTGCTCTCCTCTCCATACCCTGAAAAATGTTGATGGACTTTTTAAGTTGATCTGCTGCAGCCTTTGTGGTTATTATACTGCAGCAATCGTGCTGCTTAAAGTTTTGGCAAAGATCTATAGCTCGGGTTGTGGGTGAGGTTGTTGACTTGCTCGCCGAGCTGGCTTGTTCTTGTTCAGACATTTCATCACCATGCTAGGTGACATCATCAGTGGAGCCTCCGATGAAGCAGTGTTATTCTACTCCGCTTGGAATTTATACTGCTTGGTCCATTACGGTGAGTAGTGCCGTTTCCGGTTTTGATCTGTATGGATTTGCATATGGGGTCCGATTCTGTGTGATTGTTGATTGCATTATGGGTGGAAAACCATGCCTCTAGGAATTCCCTGGGTATCTATGTTTGGCTTGGGCTACTATGGTTACTTTGTCCCATTTGAACTGATAGCTTTCATTGTCTGAGTGTACCGATATTAAGGAGAGTTTGTTGTGCCGTTTTGCTGCTAGTTGATGTTCATGTATTCTGATGGCTAGTTTCCTTCCTGTCTGTCCGATGTAATGTTTGTGGCAGTCGTTGCTTGGTATTTTGTAAACCACATTGGTTCTGCATGTTGTGGGAATGGGGTCTTTAATCCTTGTAAGTGTTTGTCATAGAGTGGCTATGGGCTTGTTGGCCACCATGATTCCTAGTGGTCTTAGGAGTCTTGTTGTCAGTTCCGATATGTTCTTGATATCTGGCAGTGTGGCCAGTGTTTTAGGGCACGCTATAAATCCTCGTTATAAATGGATATCCCCGCAACTTCATCCGCAGATGCCTACTAAACAGACAACAACAGGAGGACAGACAGGAAGGAAACTAGCCATCAGAATACATGAACATCAGGTAGCAGCAAAACGGCATGACAAACTCTCCTTAATGTCGGTACATTCAGACAATGAAGGCTATCAGTTCAACTGGGACAAGGTAACCATAGCAGCCCAAGGCAAACATAGATACACACGGGAATTCCTAGAGGCATGGTTTTCCACCCATAACGCAATCAACAAATACATGGAATTGGATCCCGTATACAAACCCATACAGATCAAAACTGGAAATGGCACTACTCACCATAACAGATCAAACAGTATAAATTCCAAGGGGAGTAGAATAACACCGCTTCATAGGAGGCTCCACTGATGATGTCACCTAGCATGGCGACGAAACATCTGAACGAGAACAAGCCAGCTCGGCGAGCAAGTCAACAACCTCAGTAGTGCTGAAATGAAGGATGTTGATTCAGGTTTTTTTTTTACTTGGTGCAGAAAATGTGTTGAAATATCATCTAACGTGCAGTGACTTCAAATGTATGAATTCAAAATTGTTGCGTTCAAATACGGTTAACTTGTCTGCATAATATAACCAAAAGTAATATTTTCTTTCACTGTAGAATGACATTGACAGTGGTAAGCTGATCTTCACAGAACATCTGCCTTTATCCAAAATACAGCAAGGTTTAAAGTCTAATCGCTACTTCCAGGGGACTTTCCGTGCGAACAGGGACAACTATCTGGAAGCTACAGTCTGGATCCATGGAGAAGAAGGAGAAAACAAAGATGTAATTCTGCTCAGTTCTTCAATTGTCTTAATGACATTCCATCTTTCTAAAACCTGTCATTGGAAATTGTGTATTGGTAGAGGAGAAGCAAAGAGGTGGAGAGATATGGGTGATTCCCAGCATTTCAAACTTGGCATCTTGGAAGCAAGGACGTTCTCGATGACTGGGACACCCATAACTGAGGGTCTCAATGTCAGCATAAGGGTATTTTAGGGTCGCGATGAGAAACTTCTTCACCCAGAAAATGTTGAGCCTATAGAATTCTCTGACACAGAAAACAGTTGAAGCCAAAACACTGAATGTTTTCAAGAAGAAGATAGACATAGTTCCTCGGGCTATAGTTTTCAGTGTTTGTGGAGAAAGCAGGAATGAGGGCACTGAGTTGGATACGGAACAGGTTAGAAGGGCAGAATGGCTTCATGCTGTGCCTATTTTCAATGTAAATCCACATTAAGCAGTGGAAATCATAATCTCTAGCTGTGTAAGATTTTGCATCAAATTAGTAGTCCACTTCCTTTATCAACAGTATAAATTGTCAGTAAAATGATGAAGTTCGAATTGAGTAATAAATATGCTGTGTGGAGCTGAAAGATTCACATGGAAAAAAGTAGTAGTATTTTCTGATCAGTGCCTGAGAATTATGTTCTGAGCTCTACCGTTGCCTATTTTGTGAATTTTGTAAATCACGTCTTAACTAGCCCAATGTTATCTTTATCTCACAGCTAGAAATCAGTTGTACATTCCATGTTACCTCTGGAATTTCTCCACTGTTGGATGCTTCATAAATGACAGCATTTCAGAATTGCCAAACATTTTCTTTTAAGTGCGAGGTAAATTTTGTTGTGGAAAAATTCACTCGCTTAGCTTGTTCCCTTATTACTGCATAACTCCTACACGCACCTTGAAGTTAGTTGGAATCAATTATTGGTGCATTTGTGACTTTTTTTTTAGCTTGAGAGAGGGGAACATGAACTCTGCTGAGATGGGAGAGGTGGTTAATAGCAGATTTTGGTAGACCAATGTTATAAAATATTTCATCCTTTTGGACCTCACAACCCACTGGTTTTGAAAATCTAAATGTGTCACTGTACTTTGTATCTTAAGTACTCCCCTAGCCTTTCCTCTGCTTTGAATATGCAAACAATATGTGATAGATTACAGCCTGTCTCATCTGGAAATCTGTTTGAAAACACCAATCATTTGAAAGTTTTGTTTTAATATAGACTCTAATGAACTTGTGAACTTACTGCTTAACTGTTCAGCACCATTTTAGCACAAGCATTTTGAGAGCAGAAACATGGATGCTATGGTATTTGGATACGTTTTAAAAAAAAATCATACTGCTGTCAGAGATAGTAGGAACTGCAGATGCTGGAGAATCTGAGATAATAAGGTGTAGAGCTTGATGAACACAGCAGGTCAAGCAGCATCAGAGGAGCAGGAAGGCTAACATTTCGGGCCTAGACCCTTCTTCAGAAATGGGGGAGGGGAAGGGGATTCTGAAATAAATAGGGAGAGAGACGGAGGCGGATGGAAGATGGATAGAGGAGAAGATAGGTGGAGAGGAGACAGACAGGTCAAGGGGGCGGGATGAGGTTAGTAGGTAGGAGATGGGGGTGGGGCTTGAGGCAGGAGGAGGGGATAGGTGGGAGGAAGGACAGGTTAGGGAGGCGGGGACGAGCTGGGCTGGTTTTGGGATGCGGTAGGGGGAGGGGAGATTTTGAAGCTTGTGAAGTCCAGTCCACCAAAGACATTTTTCCCTCCCCACCCTTATCTGCTTTCCGGAGGGACCACTCTCTCCGTGACTCCCTTGTCCGCTCCACACTCCCCTCCAGCCCCACCACACCCGGCACTTTTCCCTGCAACCGCAGGAAGTGCTACGCCTGCCCCTACACCTCCCTCCTCACCCCCATCCCAGGCCCCAAGAAGACTTTCCACATCAAGCAGATGTTTACCTGCACATCTGCTAATGTGGTATACTGCATCCGCTGTTCCCGTTGTGGCCTCCTCTACATCGGGGAAACCAAGCGGAGGCTTGCGGACCGCTTTGCGGCACACCTACGCTCGATTCGCAGTAAACAACTGCACCTCCCAGTCGCAAACCATTTCAACTCCCCCTCCCAGTCCTCAGACGACATGTCCATCCTGAGCCTCCTGCAGTGCCACAACGATTCCACCCGAAGGTTGCAGGAACAGCAACTCATATTCCGCTTGGCAACCCTGCAGCCCAATGGTATCAATGTGGACTTCACAAGCTTCAAAATCTCCCCTCCCCCTACTGCATCCCAAAACCAGCCCAGCTCGTCCCTTCCTCCCACCTATCCCCTCCTCCCGCCTCAAGCCCCACCCCCATCTCCTACCTACTAACCTCATCCCGCCCCCTTGACCTGTCTGTCTCCTCTCCACCTATCTTCTCCTCTATCCATCTTCCATCCGCCTCCCTCTTTCTCCCTATTTATTTCAGAACCCCCTTCCCCAACCCCCCACCATTTCTGAAGAAGGGTCTAGGCCCGAAACGTTAGCCTTCCTGCTCCTCTGATGCTGCTTGGCCTGCTGTGTTCATCAAGCTCTACACCTTGTTATCTCATACTGCTGTCAGATGTTTTATCTTTATTACAATTCTGGAAAATCACTTAGTGATTCTTACTTTACACACTTGTCATTAAGCATTTTAACGCATAATTTTATCATCCAGAAATTATTTGGTCCCAAGCATTCCAAACTGGAGTGGTTGCAGTATATCTATAAAGATAGATATTTGACATATTACATATTTTGTTTTTCTAAATTTGATGACTGGATTTTATTTTTTTGGTAATTGCAGAAGAGTATATTGCAGAAGATTATATTTCAGAAGTTTGATTACTGGAAATTAAATTTGTTTTATTTTTGTGATTTTACAGATTCTTATACAGGGGCTGAAGAATCTCAATCGAGCTATACATGAAGACGTGGTGGCAGTAGAACTGCTCCCCAAAGCGATGTGGGTGGCACCATCAGCTATTGTGCTTCAAGATGAAGGACAAGTTGAGGCTGATGAGGATGAAGGAGCAGGCCTTGTAAGGGATCTAATGATGCATGCATTCACTATAATGCTTTCAGAATTATTCAGAAATAAAACTTCTCTTTATACAGACTTGTCATAATAATACGATTTATTCTTTACCGAACCCTCCATTACAGTGTTTCAAAGTAAGAGGATCTGTGTAGGAACTGTAAAAATCATCTTATTGTCCACTAAAGATTCTAGGCAAGGTGAGGAGGGTTTATGGACCTTTTAGTATCAAAGGACCGATTTTGTAAATACAAACCTAAATAGGTGACCAAAGATTTAGGAGAAAGTGATTTTCGGGGTATATTTGACTAGCCGCCATTATTTCCTACAAAACAACTGCCTGTGATTGTTTTTGCAAATGGTATTGACTTCTGTTTAGCTGCGTCAGATTTAAATGATCTGTCCCCTTGCTGCATAGCTTCTGTACATTATTGTATTTCGGTGCTCTAATAGAATACAAGTGACAATCTTTTGTAAATTTAAATTAAAGGAAAAGGTCATCAGTATTAAAAATTATTATGCATGAAAATATTTAAAATTTGATTCAACTGGTAAAGTTGTTCAGATCAAGAATGTCGATCTGAAAGTTAATATGAGCTCTTTAAAAAAACATTTGTTTTCTCTTCAAGCTGAAGAACGTTACAGCTAAAACATGTTCAAAGCCAACTGGTAAAGTAGTAGGGATAATTAAAAGGAACTGGCGGCCATATTGTGGCATGATTTCCAAGTCACAAATTAAGGAGGTGAGTGAATATTTGCAAGGGGATATTACTGCATTTTAAGTAATGTAATAAATTATTCTTAAATTGAAACTTTGTATCTGTATCACTAGTGCCTATATTTTCTATCTGCATTTCAAGTCAACAAGACACTTGTTCACACCAGCAGACCGCAGGATTCCTAGGATTCGAATAGAAACACGACAATCCTCAGCCCTTGAGAACCAGAGAGTAATTGTTGTAATTGATGGTTGGCCCAGAAATTCTCGCTACCCCAATGTAAGTATAACAGTTCAACATGCTTGGTTTGTTTGCCTGGGAAAGATTGTTAGCAAAAATATTCAGATAATATAAAGCTTGAGAAGGAAAGTTGAGCAGTTTATATCAATTATCTGAGTTTGAATATTGTAATAAATTATTCAAGCACATGTCATTTTAAGTGAGATCTATACTCTTGTCTGTTTTCACTTTTTAATTCATGCTTACTAAAATCTATTAATGATAACTGAAAGTGATACCTGATAACTGCCTTAATAAAAGGTGAATAATTACATTATAATTATTGCAAGTTTGTTTTAAAAATTTGTAACTGGTTATTGGGAAACATGGCAGTTACAACTCAACTGCATTTAAAAAAAAATTATACTTTTAATTGGTTTGTTAGAGCAACCTTATGGGCTGGATTTTGTGGTCCGTGGTGAAATGAACATCGAGCACTGTTCCTATATGAACATCAACCCCATATTGATTTTTATGTGCTGTTGACTGGAGGCCCACTATCTATAGACATCTAAGACCTGAGGGAAACTGTGGAGTTCATGAGCAAGGCAAGAAATAGTGAGATTTTAGAAGCAATCAGATTAAAGCATCCTTACCGAGACACGAGTTTACTTTGGAAAATACAATTTAGATTTAAATAAAATGTAGAAAACAGATAAAGCAAGGAAAAGAAAGTTGGGATTATGTGGCAATGATTGAAGAGACAGAAAGGAAAGCGTTTTCCAAATAAATCTACAGCATGAACTAAATCTGAAAGACTGGGGTTCTGCATTGATAGAATTAAATACTCCAATTCTAGAGAAATTATGTGAAAATAATTAAGACTGATTAGGTTGCTTAAAAAAAAATACACCTCTTTGTACCTGCCCTAACTCATTCCTGTCTACTGGTTTTACCTTAATTTCATGCTCTTATGTCGACTTTAATGCTCAGTTGATGGCTGAGATACTGTTATATTGCAATCTTTGGAAGAGCAAGAAACCTAGACAGAAGTTTTTGAATTGCCACGCTAGATTGTATAGGCTTATTCTCACTGCTCTCTGATTTTTGCCATTAAAAATGTGAACTTTGTTATCCTCACCATTCTGCTCCATGCAAAATCCAGGCCTGTGAATCACTTGTTAAACAGTTTGGAAGGGGAACAAAAGCAAGCTAATTGGCTTTATTTGTGATTTGAAGTAATTTTGAATAGTAGTCCTTTCTTAGCATTGGCAAGTTTTCAAGATTAATGTCTGTTTTACTCCAAAACTACTTTGCTATTTCCTGTTTGAAAAGTACATTCTCGCTCGTGTGCAGTGGCATGAAATGTATATGAAATTGACCAGCAGCTCCAACTTTGTGGTTGTCAATTGGTGACGGTTGTAAATAGATGATGGACTTTACATATCATCTTCCCTACCTCTTAATCGTATGTTCACATGCAGTATGAAAACATAAAACTTTACCTCTGATGTAATGTGTTTCTCACTGTGATGAAATCTGTGTCAGAAACTTCTGCAATGCAAGATTACTTCCTTATTTCAGCTTTTTAACAACTACCATAATGCATATGAGCTGTAAAACCCAACTGTAAAAGCAAATGTTCAGATGTAAAGTCATTTAAGATGGGTGTGCGATGCATTGCTCGTCTTCACAGTGGTCATTTGAAAAACAATGTATCCAGCTCAGCCACGCACACCAGATGATTTTAGGTTGATTCCAGTCCTCACCCTATTCTCAGTGTGAGTGCTTGGCTTGGCTTTGGCATTCCTGGATAGGAAAGGGAAATTCAACTGAGCATTGCTTCACTTGTCCAGTAACTCCCTTTCGAAAACACGTTTGATGAGAAAGCATCTTGAGGAAGACATGGAAAGTAGTTGGTGCTGTCAGAATCATTATTTGAGTAGACTTGGGGATCTTAAGGGAAACAAATTCGAAAAAGGCAACAAAATAACCAGAAATTTATGTGCTGCGTTTGTATTTGAACAGGGCCACTTTGTGAGAAGTCTTGGAAATGCTGGGGATAAAGAAACAGAAACTGAAGTTCTTCTGCTGGAGCATGATGTTCCTCACCACCCTTTCTCACAGGCTGTTCTTAGTTTTTTACCCAAAATGCCATGGATAATCACAGAAGAGGTTTGTAAATGTTAAACTCTGTTCAATCAATCTGGAGAGGATGTGAAGTCCAGCTCACCAAAATTTTCATTCCTTATCATACTTTACACTTTAAGAAAAGAAATCGCAATAGGTCAGACATTAACCCGACCAGGTACAATTACAGAGGGAAGTAGGGAATTTAAAAAAAAAAAAAAAAAAATTGCCTAGTTTAATATGGTGTTATTGTGATGACTGTTAAAATAGACAGAGGCCATACTGGCACAGCATTTCAAAGCTGCGTCAGAGCCTAATATAATTTTCTAATGAATATGAGCTTTGTCATGGGGATACCTTTGAGAGAGAAAAATATGTAGGTGTAGGCTGGGTGATGTCTTAACTAACACAAATCAACCCATTTCTGCCTTTAACTGAATCTGGAAGGTCTGTGAATAGCCATCTTAATACGTACAAACATACAAGATAGGAACAGTAGTAGACCATTTGACGCACAAGAGTTTTCTCTGCCATTTAGTTAAATCATGGCTGATCTATTTGTGTTTCAAATTTCACATTCCTGTTTATCCCTTTAACCTTGAATTCCCTTGCCTAACAAGATCTACCTCTGTCCTAAAACCATTCATGACCCTGCCTTCTGAGGCATGGTGTTCCAAAATTGCGCAGGCCTCCGAGAGGGAAAACAAAATCTCCTCTCTGTTTGAAAACGGTGATACCTAATTTTTAAACTGTGCCCCCTACTTTGGACACACCAGCAAGACAAATCATTTTTCTACTACCTCCTTGTCAAGACTATTCAGGATCTTGTATACAGTAGTCAGGTCAATTGTCATGCTCCTAAACCGAAGGAGATAAGAGTGTGGAGCTGGAGGAGCACAACAGGCCAGGCAGCATTAGAAGAGCAGGAAAGTTGATGTTTCGGGTCGGGACCCTTCTTCAGAAAACCGAAGGAGTTAGGTTGCACCTTTTATTTGTTCACTCTGTTGCAGGAATTTCTGGGCTGTGATGAACCCTGCTATCTCCTGACCTTTAAATCAGAGAGTGATGAGACAGAGATCAATAGAGTGTCAAAGTGGCTTTTACTACTTAGCTATAGCAAGGGACTCCAGCATATCTTAAAAAAAATGACGGGCTGGAGACCTCGAATATAAGATTACAGAAGCAGTTATACTCTCAGATTCAGTCACAATAAACGAACACGTAGCATTTAAGAGATTTACAGCTGTCTAAATTCAATCATTAGTATTGATTAGGTTTTTATTGTGTAAAATGAATGCAATTAACCTAGATACATTTATATAAATGTAATATACGATAAGTGTGAAGGCACGTATATACTGTCAGGTCTGATTGCACTATAGGCTACAATTTGTCCTTAATGGTTCATAGCTGACTTCTGTATATCAACTACCCTCCCCTTTCTGATGCACGTGGTGTGTTGATAGCTTATTTTAAGGCTTAGAGGTTCAATGAATAAACAACCTCTTTGTTTACCTGTGATCATTATCATCATTATTCCTTTGATATCTTGCAGGTACGTTACTTCCTGGAACAAATTGTCCCAAGTATTGTTTAACTAACAGTTTTGTGTCCTTCTGAGTTCATCCACAGTTAGCAGATCACAACTGTGTGCTGTTAAATATTGCTCTGCAAGTTATTTTGTCGTAATATTATTTTTAAACTCTTTAACACTGGATGTGGGCTTCTCTGGCTAAGCCAACATTTATTTAAATATAAAAACTAAAGAACAATAGACACTGAAAATCAGAAACAATAATAGAAATTGCTGGAGAAACTTAGAAGCTCTGAGTATCTGGAGAGAAAGCAGAATTAATGTTTCGGGTCCAGTGACCCTTCTGCTGTTTCTGTTTTTTGTTTCTGATTTATTTAAATATGATGTCGTGAGCCTCATCTTCAAACAGTTTTTGATTTTTATCCAATGTTGCATGGGTTTTCCAAGCTATTGGTAAATCTGGCAGCTTTCTTGGGTGGAAGTCCGTTTTCATTCACTCATTGATTTGTGCACATGAAAGCTCATCACTTTTTTATCTTCGAAGTCAGCGACATTTTAACCAAATTTGCAACATATTTGTATATTGACTTTGAATGCCAAATCTCTGTTAGGTAAAATTTATTAACCCAATGGCTTTTTCATCTGGCTTTTGGTTTGTATGAAGGATGAATACCCATGATATCAGTATTTCTTTTCTCTTTATAAATGTCCTTGAATCTTGAATGATATTGCATAACAGATCATCTTGTTTTACCCCAGATTGTGGCTCGCTGTAATTGTGTACAGTCTTGGGCCTGATCTCCAAAGTTTAATGACTTACTAAAGTTGTCAATTTAGCTTAATTTCATTAGATTCTTAACAGTGAACTTTGTATTTGTATGTCTGCAACTTGCCATTTAAAACTTAAGCATTGGAAATTAGCATGTGATTTAAAAATAGATGTTATTTCTTCATAGATATAGCTCATGATCCATCAATTGATTAACTATTCTGTACAATTGCAGGATTTAAAAAAGAGGATGGACCTCCGACATCTCTATATCTGCAGTGTGGATCCTCCTGGATGCACTGATATTGATGATGCTCTGCATTGTCGAGAGTTAGAAAATGGAAATCTGGAGGTAAATTCCGATAAATATACATTTGAATCTTGTTACACGCTTGGTAAAGAAAATCTCTTTTTGAATTGGAGCAGAAATATAGATTGCGCAAAAGGTTTTTAGCAAACATTTTCAATGAAAAGTCAGGTTTATGACCTGTACTCAAAAGAGAAAAAAAATCTGAACCGACCAAGCCAGTGTTTTCATTACTTGGAAACCCAAATGTTGTAAGTAAGTAATAAGATAAGAATATAAAAATACATGATCCAATTGCTTTCTATACTAGTAATTTTTAATGTGACAAAGTTTGAAATAAAAAATTGAAGTCATTCAGTTGAAAGATGGAATAATAAGACATTTTCAACTCTCAATTCCACCTGGTATTGGTGCCATCTAACCTATCTGTTGTTGTTGCCCATGATTGATTAAGACAAAATGGCTATTAGGGATTTTCTTGTTAACTGACACAGACAGTCGGAGGAAGTTTTAGCTGATGTAGTGTTTCATATAACTCTGATCATGGCCTTCACCACAGACTACACAACGCCTCTGAGTGTAGCAAGATGGGACTAGAATGCAAACAGTAAGACTGTGATGAGTTGCTCAGATGAAAACCATCTGATTTGAGATTTCGAGATTCTATGTGAAATAGAAAGGGAAAGCTTGACCTACCTGAGATGAAGCATTTTAAGTAATTGTAGTTATGTATTAAAGCAGACACATATATAGAATAATAGAAGTTTAAATTTATTAGATATTGAGGAATTAGATTTTTATAGATAGTTCGCCCTGGATGGAGAGACTGGTTTCGACAAACACCTTTCCAAGATCTGTTTTTCTGTCTGCAGAACAACAGAAAAGTATAAACAAGATAACCTTGTAACAGCAGCAAGAGACAAATCACATCACATGACAAGGGGGGGGCGCAGAAACAATTGTGAATCAGGGCTACTAAGACTGCGAGAGAACAAACAATTGCCACTTCGAACCTCAGAGTCTGGGTTTGTTTAACTCTTTCAAATGGGATAAGAAGGAAGCTGTCACGGAATCATAGTATTAGATTTAACTATGTATAACTTGATAAGTAACTATGTTAGAACGGATATTACAAATATTATAACTGGTTGAAATTAACATCCTTTTAATCACCTATACTAAGGACAGTAAGGGATATGAATTGCATGACCTAACTTTTTTTTTATTCATTCATGGCATGAGGGCATCACTGGCTAGGCCAGTATTAATTGCCCAGAGGACAGTTAAGAGTCAGCCACATTGCTGTGGGTCTGGAGTCGCATGTAGGCCAGACCAGGTAAGGATGGCAGTTTCCTTCCCTCAAGGAATTTTTTGTAACAATCAAGTATACAATGCAGCTGCCAAATATCTGGGAAGGGACATAACAATTCCTTTTGGAATGTGGTCAATAAGATATATTGAAAAGAGCTCGAAGACAGGTGTTAGGGGATCTGATGAACATCGTGAGATAATGGGAAGGCTTAAAATTTACCATTAAGTTGTCCATCATTGATCGTGTATCCACCGGATTGGATGTGTAAATCAGAGGAGATGTGGCAAGTACTAATGTCAATGTTGCGTGTAATCATTGTAACGTGTATACATATCCTGTACTTTATTAGGAAAGTTAGGGTGTCATGACCTCCAATCTGAGCTGTATTTAAGAGGCCACAGGGCCCCTTGTGAAAGCCAGATTAGGTGCGGTCTCTGGCCTCTCCCACAGTTGTGGTAAAAAAGCTCTGAATAAATGTCACTTGTACAGCTGAACACAGAACTGGAGACTGCGCTTTGACACCTCTCCCCAACAGTATCTTTTCTATGTCAAGTATTAATTTTAAGCAATAACAATTGTCCACGTATACATTATCATTTGAATTTAACATAGTTAGCAAGTTGATTGAAACTCTGAACCAATTGTTCAGATTATCTTCAGTTCCAGCAAATGGGAAAATATAGTACAAGTATTGAAATGAGCAGAATTGGGCAGAAATCTCTTAATGTCGAAACTGAGCAATCAAGTGGCTTGTTCCTTAATTTCTGATTACAATATTATTAAATTAGAAAGATTAGCCAACATACTTGGGTGTGCTTGAACTTAATTTGTTTCTGCCTGTTATGATTGCATAGTTTTTATATAGTACAATGTAGCAAAATAATTCACTGAACAATGTTGGGACAAGAACTGAACTTCAGAGACTTAATGCTCCAAATGATTTTGTATTCTATAACTTGTTAATCTATTTATGTTTGCAACATGTTAGTTTGGTAAACTGTAAAGCATAATATGTTCTTAAACATTGAGGTTGAATGTCTTCAGCTCTACAATACCACATGAGGTTGTAAGTGGCCGTTTTATTTCATTCCTTAATTTGAATGTGATTTGAAATGTTGTCTGAGCACTTTAGGGATGGTAATATATCTGTGAATGTTCAAAAACAGGTTGGAGTACATATAGCAGATGTAAGCCATTTTATCCGTCCTGGTAACGCTCTGGATCAGGAGTCAGCAAACCGAGGGACCACAGTATATCTTTGTGACAAGGTAAGGATCCTACAACTCTAATAATGATCATCATAGATTTGAAATGAAGTGTTTTTAATTGGACTTAGTTTGAGCAAAACAATATTTGTTTTATGGCAATTCAGCTATGATAGTATCAACTTTTCAAGAGATGTGTTTGTCCTGTTTCAGTCATAGAACTAGTCTGGAGGAGACACTGTTTACCTTCAGTACAAGGATAGGGAAAGAAGCTGACACAATAGCAATAATACTGTTTTATTTGATTTCCAATAGAGAATTGATATGGTTCCTGAATTACTGAGCTCAAATCTTTGCTCCTTAAGATCCAATGTTGAGAGGTAACTTTTTTTTTTGTCTGTGCATGTCCTATATTTGTACTTGGCTAACAAGGTGTAGAGCTGGATGAACACAGCAGGCCGAGCAGGAAGGCTGATGTTTCGGGCCGAGACCCTCCTTCAGAAAAACATTTTTCTGAAGAAGGGTCTCGGCCCGAAACGTCAGCCTTCCTGCTCCTCTGATGCTGCTTGGCCTGCTGTGTTCATCCAGCTCTACACCTTATCTCAGATTCTCCAGCATCTGCAGTTCCTGCTATCTCTATATTTGTACTTGCTTGTTTCCTGATCTTAAGTGTAGCATTGAGAAACTCTAATTGAATGACAACCCTTTCCTTCTTTCCGCTTTGGCAGTTGCCTTCAGTGACTACTTGAGATGAGATTTTTAGCATTCTCTGTTTCTGACACCCAGAAAATAAGTCATGTACAGGGGATGAAGTTGTTGATTCCTTCAGACCTATAGCCAAGGACAACAACAGATTAAGTTCATAGTAATTTGATAAATCTGTGCCTTATTTTCTAACTTGAAGATATTGGTAGTCACTTAACTTGTGTTCGTTTATTTTATAGATTTGCATTTTCTTGTATTTGGGAAATGACACACAACGCTGAAATTCTACATACTATGTATACAAAAAGTGTTATTAATTCAAAGGTAAAGTAATATTTTAAAGTCCTGAGCCCAGGAAATTTTTTTATTCACTCCATTTTCCTTAATATGGCTACTTAATCTTCTGGTTATGTGGCTGAAGTGACAGAACAGGCAAACAACGAAGAGTAAAAGAGAAGGTGATCTCAAAGCTTTATTTAAAATATAATGTAACATAAGCAACTTAATTACTTATATAAAAGCAAACTACTGCAGATTGTCAAACATTGAAATAAAAACAGAAAACGTTGGGGCAACTCAACAGATCTGCCAACAGAATTTTGAGTCCAATATGACTTGTTCAGAATAGTTCTGAAAAAAAGTCATATCATACTTAAACCATTACCTTTCTTTCTCCACAGATGCTGCTAGATTTCAGTTACTCCAGCATTTTCTGTTTTAATTTCATTGGTCGTAATTTTGAAATGCAAACACATATTCCACTTCTTAGCAATAAATTTGGATGAACACAGGAAACTCTTTGAACCTTACACACTTTAATTCTTAAATGCCCCTTTTTAAATCACAGGATGATAGTCAACTGTCAGTTAATACTAGATAAATTTGCAGATGATAGTGAAATGTTGATAAAATCAAATATGAAAAGTTAGTGTTTTTTACTTTTAAGCTTTCTTAGCTTCTAAACTATTTAATATGTACAACGTTCCATGGTATTATCCTGTTAAATCTCAGTAGCCTTTGTATTCAGACACAATAGCCTGTTGTTTATTTGCAGACATTTTTTGTATTTGTTGACTAGAAAACAAACATTCAGCCAGGTGTATCAATGCTGTCTTAAGAGCTGATGAATACATTTGCAGTTTAATTGTGGAATGATATCCATTTAAATAAAAAAAAAGGCTAGCAGCAAAAATTACTAAAACAGTTCTAATGCGATCTGAAAAATAAATGGTCAAGTAATCTTAGCCTCTGTATATTAAAGTAGCTGGATTTTCCACATGCCAGGTGGTCGTTATTTCAGCGTAGATGGGAGTTGCACAAAGGGACCCTGTGTATTTCTATATGCACCGGGCAATTTCCATATGCCTGGAAGCTTCCAAAAGTCTCCATTAAATCAGAGAATTTGCGAGTTCTGATAAAATTAAGTAGTTAACATGGGAAACATTGGACTATTGCATACACAGTCAAACTCCTGAGTAACTATTAAACCAACCCCATAATACCTTGTACCTCCCACCCCCTTGTCCTTGATCTGGCAACCCTGAACTCAACAACCTCATCTCCTGTTTCTTGCCTGACTTGAGATACCTTGCCTGCTGTCTGCCGCACACCCCTTCCTCACCTGCAGCCAGCACGCATCACCAACCAACCAATGTCCCCGCCACTCGCGAGCACTCTCTCGCTTGTGTGTTCCCTCTCCCGCGCGCTCTCTGGCTCGTGCTTGCTCTCTCTCACGCTCTCTGGCTCTGTCTCTCTCACGATCTCGTTCTCACTCACTCCCAACCTGATCCAACACCTGCCATTGGCCAAGAATTGCCCCACGCCTACGACAACCTACAGTCTAAACGTATCATCACTTACCTTGCCACCTTGCATCTATACCACTTGGCACTCTAACCCCCACCAAGGTGGTACCCTACTTACCCTTCACTTTCATTCCCCAACCCACCTGGGATGCAAACATCACTCTTAGGTACTGTTTGACAGCAGCTGCCAAAGTGGCTGTCTGTATCTTCAAATTGGCAGCTACCTGCTGTGGAAAGGGGGCATGGTTTGCTTCTTCTGACAGTTCTGCACTATGAAAAAACTGTCAGAATAGAGGTGTGGCTTTGCCTTTCTGAGGGAGACTGGATCAGAATCTCCTCTGGGAAATGTGGCACTCTCTTTCATAAAATATCTTTCTACATGAGATTGCCACGCCTCGGAAAAATCTGGCCTAGTATGTCCAAGCAGCAATGTAAAGAAAGTATTGGTTTTCATTGAGAGATGGCCATTGGAGTTAACTTAACTAGTTTAAATAAGTGCAATTTCATTCTGGAGGCTGTGTATAAATTTTGTACAAAATTTGACAATAGTATTTGTATGTATTTATTTTTGCACATTTGTTTAATAGGCATCACTCACGTATGCTGAAGCACAAATGAGAATTGATGATGAAAGCATGAATGATGAGGTTACGTTAGGACTTCGTCGTTTAAATAAACTAGCAAAAATTCTGAAAAAGAGAAGAATTGACAATGGGTGAGTTTAAATGTTTTAAATTTTTCTTCTTTCAAATGTACACAAAATATTATTTTATTCTTAAAATGAATCATTTAGTCCAGGGCTTTCTGTAGACTTACATTTGCTTCTAAGTCAGAAGATTATGGATTGAATCCTGAGATTTTGAGAAAATCTAGGTTGATGCACCTATGCAGTACATTCATGAGATATAAGGCAGAGTGTTTGCCCTTTCAGACGGTGTAAAACACACTAGCCCAGATTTTCTGAAGGCCAGAGTCATTGAAGCAGTGTAAACTAGAATTGCATGTTGGGACCATGCAGGGTATCAGGTGCAGAAGTCTCTGTGGACGTTGCCCAAGAACCTGAAGATTCTGATGGGCAGTTCTCCTGTGTCTAGAACCAGCCAGAAATTCATTAAATTCAGATAATTTGAAGAGTCCAGACTGAGTTAAGCTGGTAGTTGCCCAAGAAAAGTTAGAGAATTAAAAGCCTATTTGTCAGTATTAGCTATTATATTGAGCACTCGACTCACTCGTCATCCTCCACCAACTATGTCCAAAATCACAGACCTAAGGTTTCCAACCCTGATTAGAATATCTGGGCCATTGTAACATTATTCAAAGTGCAGGGAAGTTGTCTATATACTTAACAGAATTATCCTGCAACTAACACGAGAAAAATAAACAGTAAAAGTAATCTTGACAAATGATTTACTGATCAAATTAAGTGAGAGCATTCAAATTTAAATTTAATCTGGCACTTAAATTAACTTGAATTCCACAGCATGTGTTACAAGGTAATGGTTTTGCCATATTCAACTTGACATCATAGTGCAGAAGTTGAGAGGGCCATTTGAGCAGCAATAATTAAGTTAACTGGGTAATTCACTCAGTGCTGAATGCTATTTTGTATCTCAAATTATGAGCCTTAGTTACTGGGGGAGTCTAATTGTGGTTTAATTGAAATCTGTATTTTTGTTTCCAGTGCGCTCACACTGTCTTCTCCTGAAGTGCGATTTCACATAGACAGTGAAACCCATGATCCTATCGACCTACAAACCAAAGAATTAAAGTACGTATTGCAGATTTAAATATTGGGTAGCTTTGAGATCAGTTAATTTCATTTTGAAGAATATTTTATTCCTGTGTTATAATAGTCAAAATTAATCAAAATACAGAAAATATAGACTTTTACCTTTAGATTACATTTATTTTCACACAGTTAATTTTGAGAAATACAATGCAGTCATTTATTCAATGATTATAGTAACTGATATTTAATGAAGTAGCAAAATTGATTTTCTATCCATAATGTGATTTGAATCTGTTCTGTAAAAGTGAAAACTATGTAAGTGTTCAATCTTAACATTTCAGAATTTTTGTGCTTATATGGATTATTCTTTTATTATTTGAGTAAGAATGTTTTGGAGTCCAAGTCTCACTTCAAGACCTGAGCACACACAGCTAGGCTGGCTTAATCAGTGCAGCATTCAGGATACTGCATTATTGGACATGCTGCCTTTTGGATGAGCCGTTATACCAAGACCGTATCTATACTCGGATTAACGTAAAAGATCCAACAACACTTACTTTACAGGACAACGAGGAAATTATCTGCAATATCCCAGCTAATATTTATGCTTCAAACAACACCATAGTAATCAGATTATCTGATCATTATAACATTGCCATTTGTGGGAGCTTTCTACATACAAGTTGGATCGTGTTTTAATTGCAACTAAGACTATGCTTCAGAGTACTTAATCGGCTGTAAAGTGCTGATGTCTTGAGGTTGTACAAGATCCTAAATAAATGCAAGTCCCTATTTTTCCATTGATCTCCCATTGCACTATAATAATGTAACTTAGTTGATATTTTACTCTATGCTGAATGAATTGTTTTATGTAATGCAGTGTGGTTTTGATCTAAACTTGCCTTACAGGGAAAAGAAATCATAGAGAATTCTGTTTAATTACTTTTTACTCCCTCCCGCACCTGAGGTACTGAAGTTACTTTGGGTTAAATCAGGCTATCTTAGCAATGACTGAGTTTCCCTGACAAAGGATCTTATAAGCCAAATGATTTAACTGCACACTGAGCTGCAATTATACAGGGTTATTCAAAATTTTATGCTTAGAGTTTTCCTTTTGTACTTTCTGAAAACATGAGCAGCTGAATGTTCTGAGCATAATTTGGTTTGTTTTTTCTTTCCTAGCAGTATTAAATACTGATTAATGGCATTTTATTCTCTAAATCCGTATAGAATAATACACAGCAGTCCGTCTAAACAATACCCCATCAGTTGTTTCTAATTCATGTGTTGTATTTCTAGGTTATTTTTTAGGAACAGTCATTTGTAGTTTCGTTTGAATCTTCTTTTGTTGTAAAACTTGTATGTTGCAAGAATGTGAGAGGAAAGCCAAATCTTTTGCTGAAGCATGCAATATTGAAATCAAAAACGTGGAACCTGTTTTCAGAAGTTTTTTTTCATTCTTTGAATTTGACCATTACTGGCAAAGCCAGGCAGTATTTATTGCCAGTTCTTAATTATTCCTGAGAAGGTGGTGATGATTATTATCTTCAGCTACTGTTGCCCATGTAGATGCATTCATGGTTTTGTTAGGTGGGGAATTCTGGGATTCTTATCCAACTATGATGCAGTCCAAAATCAAGGTGCTATGTGAAATTGTAGAGAAACTTGAAACTGGTTGCATTTCATGCACTTGTTAGAATCATAAAGATCTATAGTACAGAGAAAAGACCCTTCAACCTATTATGTCCACGCTGTCAAAAACAATCACCTAACTATTCTAAGATAACAAGGTGTAGAGCTGGATGAACACAGCAGGCCAAGCAGCTTCAGAGGAGCAGGAAGGCTGACGTTTCGGGCCTAGA